CTTCATAATAACACTATATTTCGAAGGAGAGGTGGTGGCAAGATTTTAACATAAAATAAATACAACAGAAAGTAATATTAACGTAATACACTTCCAGATATAAATTATTTATACTATTTTAAGTGTTCATTACACACAATTTGTAACAATGTGTTACTTATGGAAAGCAGAGATCAGCTTTGGAAGGTGTTATTCAATAATCGATAGACAGGAGAGTTAGGGGGAATCATAAGCAAATAAAAATCCCTTTTATCAGCTATTAGATCTATAGGCTTAAAATTTAACAAATATGTTTTTTTTATGTTCAACTGAGATATGCAAGAAGCGTTTTTTTTGTTTAATTTGCAATTCACTTAAAGTTAACTCATTAAAAACTTCTTTTTCCTGCAATCTGTATTGTTTAATTTATTAATCTAACCGTGCGAAGAACGGATATATCAGCTAATAATATATATAATTGGCTTAAGTAAGTAATTCTGTAATTTAAGTTAAGTAATAATTGATTAGTTAAGTTAATTAAGTAATGCTGCATTTTAGCTGAAAACTATTTAAGACGCACCTCGTAATTTTGAGTTAATTTCAAAAAAAAAAAAAAATTTTTTAGCTATATTTACTTTTTCGAAATTTTCCATTCAGAGAAACCACAAGATTTTGATGCTTGAATTGAGCTACATTTTATTTATTAGCATTTTTGTAAATTGAACACCAACTCACCATCGGCCAATTGCAAAATTTTGACCATTCGTCATGGTGGCGTCATTTCAGTTGAATTAAAAGATTTTGTGTGTGTGTGTGAAACCTTACAAAATTGCAAACTATTGATTAAATCCAGACGTCTAACTATATGGCGAAATGAAATATTCTATTTCTGTAGTATTTCGAGACTAAAAAGAGCATGCAATACATAAATATTTCTAGTTATCAGTTAATTTGAGAAGCAAGTTTCTTTAGAGGCTTCAATGTTTCTTTTCGAGTTTGTGTGGTCGCTGTCTTTACTTGCTCTCTTTTCAAAAATATAACAGAGAAAAAAGAAAAGGAAAACATTATGGATTTTCACTTTATTTAGTCTCTTGGACTTCGTGGATTTTTTTGTTTTGCTTTTGTATTCCTTTTACAGGCGGTACTCCTTGGTAATTTACTGCTTATCCAAGAATTTTCCAGTATGATTAATAAAAAAGACTGGCTCTGTTTTTCTAAGTATGTACAGATTTATTTTACTTTTGAAATTATTTTCCAGTACCCAGTGAGGTGCCGTTTTTGCATACGGCACTTATCTTTTATTTTACTTCATGTGCTTCTCATCTCTAAAGACTTTTTCTTGGGTGTCTCAAGTGAGGTACTTTTTGTATTTGTTATTTCATTGTGTGTATCAATAAATTGCCTTCTCAGAGTGTCAGTTTGAAGCTCGAAACCCTTTGGGTGTGCTCGGTTCTTCCAAGTAAGTGAATAAGAAGCTTTCATCAAGAATGGGAAGTAGCCATCTATAATATGAATTTGATGCAAACAATTGGTTAGTTTTAATATTTATGAAGTCTTAACAAACTTTGGCATGGTGAGAAAATTTGGAGTGTGGTGTAGTGTCGTGAGCTCCTAAAAGTACTTCATTACTTAGTAGCGAGAGGGAACATACAGCTATTTGCCAAAAGACATTTTATTTATAAATTAATTTTAAAAAAATTAATTCATTATTTGTGTGCTTATTTTCAGAGCACTACACCAGAGAAAAGTTAAAATTCAGTTTAATTAGTGAGGTCTTGAAGTGATCGTCTCTCGGGTGCGGCTGTTCCCGTAACTTTTCGCTGATCTCGCCTCCAATCAAACGATTCGAGCAGCTGATATACAGACTCCATCACTCCTTTTCCTCCTCGTAATTTCTTTGTCTTTGGGGTGTGGTTGACCGCTCAACGTCTATAGCGTGTGTTCGAAGAAAAAAAGCTGATGCGGAAGATCCTCGCCACCTTTCGAGTTGACCCTTTAAACCCCTGGGTGGGCCTCGTTCATACCCCAGTAATCTCTGATTAGTGAGCGTAGCATATCTGAATACGACCATCCTCGTTTTCGTCTCAACTCCATTTGTTTTTTGAGACAATAGATCGCGTTATTGAGATCAACTCCGTTGCCGTATCTCGTATACCATATAGAGGGTCTATCAATAGAAGTATTCCCTTGACACAGATACCATTCAGGGAATCTCCTAACACAACAGGCTGAAATTTTTTTCAGATAATTATCTGTCCACATGTGCGAGGGAATAAAATATAAACTGTTCAGCAGGAGTGCTCCTTCCATAAATCATTGCGGCTGAAAGTCTGGGTGTCGGAGAAGGAAAAGAAGGTGTGGTATCAATAAAGCGGCTTCCAGAAGTGGCTCAACATCTGTTTTGCCCCCAGGCGTGAGGGAAGAATACACTGTCTCTTCAAGAAGATTACAATGTCCCATCTGGGCATTCTGCTCCCCCTCAGCCGCACATCAAACTTGACAAGTATTGTCGCGAAGTGTTCGTCTAATGAGCCGGCGCTTTAGTGGGGTTGCACATTAGGTATCATTTTTTCCATTGCTAATGGTTCTAGTGTAGTTTCAAGTGTGACTTTATTAATTAATCAATAGGTCTTAAGAAGGTATCGCATGATAATTGGAAAGTCATACAATGTATACAAGAATGATTTTAAACATACCACGAAATGTTATGTTTAATGAAGATCATAGTCACAGATATATGCCAATATTAAATACAATTTTTATAGAAATCGAGCTATTCAGTACAGTTAATAAAGAAGCATGTTTAAGGCTCTTAGATCATGACTTAAAATTATTAGGTCCATTTTCATCCGGTCATTAAGCTCCATTAGTGCAATGGTGAACAAAGCCAAATAGCTCTGTGATTTTGTATTAGTTGGATAAGTATATTTTATGAAAAGTATTCCTTCAAGGCACTCATTAAAAGTCAAACAGGGCCGCTACTTCAGTCTCTGCAAAAATCTTTCCGAATGACACGCATTTTCAAATCACTATTTCATTAACGAGGGAGGCATTTTTTCCCAAAAACGTTGATACGAATGCAGAAATCCAATACTCAGCAGCGTTCATTAAATTCCGATGAGTATGAAATTGGAAACTCTTTTTGTTGTTGCATTTTGAATTTCAAAGTATCAAAACTCACATTTTGCAGATGAAATAAGTTTATTTTTATGATACTTTCATTTACAGGGAAGTGAGTATCTTAGGTATCGTTATCTTATTCAGATATACCCCCACACACACAAAAAGATTTTTATATTTTTTTACTGAAATATTTCGAAACAATAATGTTTATTACATGGTTCTATAAAACAGAAAAAAATTTAAAGTAAGGAATTATGTTCGATAATATTAAATATATATATATATATATATATCTTTGAATCACATTTTTCTTAAAACATTAACAATTCAAATGTAAATTATGATCAACGAAAATAGAAAGTATATGACTGAATAAAATTTACTAAAGATTTAACACTGAATGCGTGTTTTGATATACAAGCAAATGCTAACTTAAAAATTAGTTTTCTATTTATAGAATTGAATTAGTTGCCTTTTCTACCTTTTTCTTTTCTAATAACGCTATATATATATATATTTTATTACAAAACATTATTATTTCTACTCAGCAGGGTTCTTAAGTTTCCAGATTTTTCTCTATTAAACTCTTTTCTTATTTTTAAAAAAGTAAACAAACACTTATGATTACTTGCAAATGAAATAAAGAGGTATTGTAGTCAGTTTTCTTGATATTTTAAAGGGGTTTCTTTCTGCACCAATCGGTGATCACATGTTGATGTCTGCAGTTTTTTTTGTCCGATGAAAAATGGAAGTTACTGTAAGTTTGTGTGAGCAGCCTGCATGTGAATACTTCCTCTCAGTTGCAATAATTTAGTTCATTAGCGTTTTTTTGCTTACAAATGAAAATTGCAATATTTTAATGAATAAAAACTACCCAAAAAATTAGCAAACAAATATTTATATTTCTTAAGAAAATATAGTGATACCCTTAACATACGAATGTTTGTTATTATTATTCGAATTCTTTTTTGTTGAAGATTTATTGCATCTATAGGAGTAGATTATACCGAGTATTTGCTTGTCTGAGTAGTTTATAGTATGTGAATACGAATACTTTTAAAACAAGTCAACAGGCATAGTTTTTTGAAATTCCACAGTGCTGCAGTTTTTGCCTTAAAACAAATAATTAATGTTGACAATTAGGACAATTAATTTTCAGAACCATTCTATTTATATTGTTTCTTAAAAGTTTCATAAATGAGTTCCACTTTCTTGGAAAATGTTTCACTTTTTTGGAAGTTTAACAACAGAATCTATTTAATGCCATTCTACTATTGTTTCTCTGTTTTCGAATTCCTTTAGAAACTCTCTCTATTTCGTATTATATTATACAAATTTCATTAATGTATTAGTTTATTTTACAGAATGTACGTAGGCTTATTTATTCCAATGTGATACATATGATTAAATATATAAATACCTTTTGCATTTTAAATTGTCTTAATTGTAAACCTTAGTTGAATCATTGCAAAAAAAAATTATTTTACTGAGTAGTATTTATAATTTTTTAAAAACTTTTGAAGTTATACTTCTTTTGGAACGTTAGAAAAATAGGATGAGGGTAAATTTTTACAATGCGCGCGCACCCCGTCACGAATGCTAAAATCCTTTGTCAAGAAATATACAGAACGGGACAAATCATTTCCGCCTTCGAAATTCTCAGAAAAATAGTTCTCGTCACTTCCCTGAAGAAGAGGATATCAGGGTTTGAACCGGGGACTTCCCAATCTGCAGTCGAATGCTCTGCCACTGAGCTATACACCGCGTCAGCGAACCTTTGCTTTGTGTTCTCTAGGAACGGATACGAAAATACTTAGGTTAGAAATATGCAGAATGGGATAGATCACTCCCGCCTTCGAATTCTCAAAAAAAAATATTTCTCTTCACTTCCCTGAAGAAGGGAGCATCCGGGTTTGAACCAGAGACCTCTCAATCTGCAGTCGCATGCTCTACTACTGAACTATACCCCCGCGTCAGCGAATCTTTGCTTTGCGTTCCGTAGGAACGGATACGAAAATGCTTTTTCTAGAAATATGCAGAACGGGACAGACCATTTCCGCCTTCGACCAATATTATTAGTCCTATTGTTCCTGAGCGGGGGTGTTTAAATTTATTTAAATCGTAATTATCTCAGGTTTGGCTGGTCCGATTGACTAAAGGTTAATATCGTCCAACTCTGCTCGTGACCTCTTTTCGTCCTTGGCCCAGCTTGCCCTGCTAAAGATTTTTAGAAAGATTTTAATCTTGTTACGCCAAAGAAGTATAACCTCTTACGTGCGTACATAAGTACACACGCACTTTTTTTTATTTTATTGTTGATGGTATTATATGTTTCGTATGAAACATACTTAAGCAGCATTTAAAAAGCTTTGCTAATAATTTCGTTTACCATTTCTAAAAACCGTTTTAAAATAAATTATCCTTTTCAAAATTTGAGATGAAATTATATTTTTACAATACTTTAAAAATATATGTTAAATAATTTTACCAAAAAGAAACAGAAAATACATTTTATTTATATTATTTGCATAAAAATGTTTTCATTAGAAAATGTAAATTTAGAAAACTTATCAGTAAATTGTCGGGTTTACTTTCTTATGATCTGTATTTATAATCCTGAATCATAAAATTGTTTACATCACGATTCTGAAGCAAAATAGAGTTTTGATGATAGAAATATTTGAGCATGAACAATTTGTTTTAATAAAGGAAAAATACTGATCATGTACTGTTATTGTACTAAATTTAAAATAGAGCGTTCGTGTCTTTACCATGTTATCGCCCAGTAAAATATTTATACGTTGCGTGACATATCCGAAAAAACAAAATACAGCTCTTTTCCTTCTCTTCCAGACTGATACGAATTTGTTTTAGGGTCGAAGAAATTTCTTTTTCCAAAGGACATCGTAATCTTTCATCATTAAATCGCTTTTGCAGAGCATTTCATAGCTAACGCACGTAAATGTGTCAAAGATTCTTTGTCTTCATCACTTTCTTCTATCTGAATGTAAAACTAATTAATATTTTTATATCTTAAAATAAATCTATAAACAGATTTTAAGTACACTTTTTGCAGCCATTGATTAATGTGTTTTGAAATAAATTGCTGTAAATAGGAAAAGCTCCACAACGAATCTTTGGAATATCGATTTAATGCAAAGTAGAACAAAAACAGGTGTAAGAAACAAAAACGCAAAGGAAAAGATAGCTCTTCAAAATACTAAAAACCTTTATTTTTTCTCTGAAATTCCTCTGCATTGTTTTTTAAAAGACATGTTTTCATTTTTCTTATGATTTCATATTTGATATTTTATTTTTCGAAACGACAAAATTCGCAATAGCTTGAACTAGTTCTGTTGATGATCTTTTCTTTATTTCAGGAAACTCCATTGCTTCGAATGGTTTCTCATTTAAATAGATGGTTTCTGATGTACCGGAAGAAACTTGTGGTTGCGTTTACAACGTTCCAGTTCATTCAACAAGAGTACATTTTTCTTTTTTTACGACAGATATAAGAAAACCAAAAGAAAGTTTGGGAAATCGGGCCATTTTCGGAGACTATCTACAATGTTGTCGAAAGATAAAAGAAGATTTTAGCATTTGAAGGAGTTTGAATTATATTTGGAACAAGATTCAATGTAATATTTAAATATAGTAATTCATGTAATTATTTTGCATAATTATATTTTCATTGAGCTTTAAAATAAATTATACATTGTTTTCTTCTAGAATGGGGAATACGTGGTTTCTTATTTCAAAAAAGGGTAAAACTTTATCTCTGGAAATTAATTTTCAAAGAGGAAAAATATTTTGGGATTTGAAAGGTTTAATTAAAGTTTCTGTAATTGTTTTACCAATGAATACTTTAACTTTTCTAAAGAATATTTGGGGAAAGAAAGCTCATCTAATTGAATGAATAATTATAATTGAGAAATATCATAACTGATTTCAATTCTAAAAAAAAAGATATTTATTGAAATTTTTCAAAGAAAATTCTTTGAAGTTCATGTTGGAACAAAACACAAAAAAGCAATCTAAAATTATTTTAAAATTAGATCAAAAATAAAGGCCAATACTGTTATTTTCTTATAAATCTGTAATTTAAAAGAATACTATTTGTTATACTGAGAATTCTCACATGACGATTAATTTTACATACATCATTAATTCTCTTTCTTTAACTTTTTTTTATATAAATTTTCGTTTTTAAATCGTTATTACTTAATTGAACGTAATAAATATCAAATAAGCCAGAAATCGTTATTTAAATTGATTTCTTAAATGTGTCAATCCATAGAACTGTCTACATAATACTGTGACAGTTGAATAACCGGATTAGTCTTAAAAATTAGCTTTATTTAAAAACAATGTACAAATATCTTTTAACCCCTTCAACGTACTCCCCTTCCCTATCAATACATATCTGCATACGAGTTTTCCACCTTTCAAAGCAGTGCTGCAGCTCTTTAGACGTCCCCATCTTCAGAAGTATGCCGTTTTTATCTTCGGATCTCCAACTAACTGAAAATGTAATCCCATCAATGCATTTTTCGCTTTAAGAAGCAAGTAGAAGTTGTATGGTGCGAGATCTGGTGAGTATGGTGGATGTTCAAGCAGAGTAATGCGTTTGTCCACCAAGAACTGTTTTACAGAGAGCATAATGTGCCGAGGCGTTGTCTTGGTGCAAAATCCACATGTTGTTGAATCTAGAGATCTTGCCTTTTCTTCCTCACTCTTTCCTAAACTTTCTCAGGACCTCAATGTAGTGCTGCTGTTTTACCGTTTGGCCTAGAGGTATTCATTCAATCATGATGATGATTTCAACATCCAATAAAAACGATGAGCATGACCAGTTTTGATGTCACAGATCGACAAGAGCGCTCATCATCTTCAGCAACCTCTCGATCTTCCGAAAATCATTTGTGCCATTCAAAAAATTGATCATGTGACGTGCAATTATCTCCAAACACTCCTTTAACAATATAAAATTTTTCGATCGGAAATTGTTTTTAATTTTAAGAGGAATTTCAAATTTATGCGCAGCTCGATTTTTACGTTTTCCATGATCACGGCACTTCGACACAACAACGACTTTCTCAAACAAGATAAATAATAAACTGAACTAGATAGAGGGATGGAATAACGCCCCACCAGCACCAGACAGTTCAAGGTCAACTTTATTCGATTTCCACTCCTTTACACTAAGCCTAACGGCTAAGGCATGCGTAGTCCACGAATTAATTGTCACACCTTGTATATCTTAAATGCAATTATAACTTGCCTTTGATCTATATTAAAATATGACTCAAGTTTGTAAAAATTTAAAAGAGAAGTGTTTAACAAACACTGTTTCTGAGATATTGCTATGTTTTGTACATCCTCTTTATAGCTAAATGCAAAATGGATTTTAAACTTAAATGGACTTTAAAAGGAAAAACATGTGTCTGTAAAATGTCTATGTCTTAAAACATATTTTGAAGAATTCATGATCATATTGACGTAGTACATAAATACTCAGACTGTTTTCTAATCCACAAAAGTAAATGTTTCTATGTTGTTATCCAACAGTCCATTCAATTGTACCAAATTTAATGAATATTTGCTCATATTGTTCCATTACAGTATTACATTTCCGTAACCTTGAATGAGATGAAACTCGAATTGATACGTAGGATTACCCTCGAATTCAAGGTATCTCTGAAAAGTCAATGATGTCTTGAGTTTGCGTGATCAAATATTTGGTAAGACGAATTAATAAATTGAATTATATTAAATGAAGTCTCCTTTAAATAGCAGACACGAAAGGAAGTATTATATAATATTAACATGAAGTATTATTATTATACTGTGTGCGTGTTGTATTGTGTGTGTGTTATACTGTATAGGTAAATTAATCATTAAGAATGGATTTTTAATTTTTCTGCTTAGTTAAATAAAAGTAATGTATAAAAATATTTTATTTATTTTACAATTAAAAGATTAAGTTTATTTTAAGAATATAAGAGAGTTTTTAAAATTCATACTGATTGTAATGGAATTAATGTACAGTAAAAAATGAATACATTCATTTTTATCTAGAAAAGATTCTCTACAGTAATATGCAGTAGCTAACGTATAACGTCATTAAGTATAATATGCACAACTAACGCATCACGTCATTAAAGATAATTTGCAATAGGCATGGTTATATCGATTGACTTCATTACTTACGGATATTTTTTGAAACAAGGCTGAAATTTCATCTGATACTTTAAATGTCAAACTTTCAAACCCATAATAAGAACACTTTAGAATTACATAACATTCCCCTTCAACCCACTTGAAAGTATTCAGCATAGTGAAAACTGAATTCTAAGACAGTATTCAATACATGGTCATTCTAAATAAAATTAATTAAAAGGTAATTAAAATAATTGTGTTTAAAATAATTTTTTAAAAATTCCGAGAAGTCACTGTACAAAAGTTTGGAGAGTAAAGCGTTTGTCCGTCACTTGACATTGTTGAGAATTTGGAGGTCCATCACCTATAGCATTATAGATACTTCACAGTGTAACATAAATTCAAATAAAATAAAATCCCGTTGTTTAAGTTATTACTGTTAAGCTAAATTGGAATTTAAGTTATTCACCTTTGATGAAGAAGTGAATCCTTTGAAGAAAATATATTTTTCTCCACGCGATTGAAATCAGACTGTTAGCCATCTAGAATTTCACAAGAGAATTTAATTGTAAATGTGGGTCACTAGTAAGAAATGTTTACAGTAATATAAATTTTACGATGTTGAGAACTCCACTGCCTGAAATTTTTTAAAACTTTTTCATGGAAAGTGTAGAGATTTCCAGTAAACTTTGCCTGTTTTTGACTTGGTCTTCTTGGTCTAACCTTTTCTTTCTTTTTCGAAAAAAGGGCAAATATTTAAAAACAGTTGTAATAAATGAGTAAACAAAAAAAGTTATTTTAATAGTAAATA